ACCATCCATCACATTTGGCCCGTCCCTCAGAAAAATTTACCTGTCCTTTCCTTATTTCGGCCACCAATCCGAACGTATGAAAATTGATATCCAAAGGCTTCTCTCGGAATATTTCATCGGTATAGAGTTCAATATTATTTTGGTAAATAAATTTACAATAGGTTCTTTTTTCAATTACAAAGATAGACTTCCTTTAGCATCTAGGTCTTCTCTGGTGTATTCTTTCAGTTGTGTACATGGTGTATCTAGCTACGTCGGTATGACCGCACGAGCACTTTTCACCAGAGTAGCCGAACATGCTGGAAGAAGTTTCCGTACTGTGCGTCCACTTGCTCAGCCGCCTCATTCATCAGTCAGACTTCATACAGAACAGTGCCCACTTGCTCCTTCCGTGTCCATCAATCAATTTAAAATTCTTTGTAACGCTAGCAGCCAAACCGATTTACGAATTTTAGAGTCTCTTTACATCCATAAACTTAAACCTAAATTGAATAACCAATCCAGCTCTTTTCCTCTTTCGATTCTAGGTCATTAGTTGTTTTTTCCTTTCTTTCCTTATCATTTTCTAAATTTATTTACTAAAATTGATTTCCATGTATTTTCAGATGTATTTTACTAGCTGATGATGGGCATAGCCCGAAACGTTCTGTTTTATTTATCTAGGACTTCTATTCAGTAAAATGTTTTATGCAACTTTTTTGGTTTTAGCCTTTATTCTTAAACTGAGAAGAGCTTCTCGAGATATTGTGAAGTATTTTCAAACGGGTGCGCAGCCGAGCACTTCCATAATTTAATACCACTCAGCCCTGCATGCGCCGCCTAGTATCGTTCCGTAAAACCACCAATCAGACGTACAGCGAACCTGTCCCTTCATACCCTAGCTGGCCTGCTGTCGCATTGTACCCAGACTACTCCGTACTGCAACTAATCAGCCTTGCTTCCCCTGGGAGTTGCATGCCACCTGCCTGAAACCACCAGGCCTGTCGTCGCATGAGCCACGCAACTGGCTGAGCGCAGCAAGTGGCGGAGTGCGCCAAGACTGGTTGAACGCTTCAATGCTCAGTGGGCTGCAGCCGTGATGAAGGAGCGATGTATGTGAGCTCTCGTCCATGGAAACGATGCATCACAAGTTCAGCGAACCCTTAGGGAATTAATATATTCAACATTAGAATGAGCAAAGCTGTGAAAGGACTAAACAGTTTTTTTGAAACTCAAATAGAGAATATAACTTCCATTATTCTGCACTGTATGTAGCTATAATGACCCATCATTCTATTAATTAGTTATTCCCGACTCCTGGCTACATTACTACTAAAAATATCTTTCGCCCTTAAAATAATTTATAAAATTGAAACAACCCTAAAAATTATTGCAAACTCGTAGTAAGGTTTGAAGAAGAGAGAATTTATGGCATATAACTTCGAATCTATGTCCAAGAAGACAATTTCCATCAATATCTCACTATGTGCTTATACTAACTTGAAACACTTAGATTGATTTGTAATAATCGAATTTGATCATTAAATTTTATAACAGAAATGACGATGGTTCCTCGCTCGGTAAAGATTAAATCTGCCTCAATATTGCTCGTGTTCGGCACCTGATAGCTTCGGAGCTAATACTGACGAATCTGATAAGTGCGCTGAAAAATGCCCTATCCCTTTCCCCTTATACTGGCGGGAAGGGAGGGGGCATTTGAATCGCTGTACGCTATATATTTGCAGCCTCGACAAAACCATAGAAAAATGAATCACAGCGGCACAATGCAGGGAATGGCCAGGAAACAAGAATCTGAACAGGGAATACTACCAGTTAATGCAACCTACAACCCCAATTTTCCCCATTACCTACAGCGAAACATTGTCCAGCACATACCAGAATGCAAGATTCTCCCACATTGCCCAGCAAAATAATCTTCAGCATTCACCAGCGCTCAACATTCTCACATATTGCCCAAAACTAAACATTCTTCAACATTCACTAGCTCTTAGCATTCCCCAATATTCAACACAGCCCAAGATTTTCCACATTATCCATGTACGAAGCATTCTACCTATTTCACCCGTACCAAACACTCATACCTATTGTTGGGTCCAACAATTTTTCACATCCGTCAGTGCAAGACATTCTCTCACCTTAACCAGTATTCAACCAGCACTTAACATTCACATATACTTTTAAGAATTCTACCGCCATAATCACTTAAATCAATCCTCAAAGTTCTTCCGAAATATTTGCAAACAATAGCCTAGTGTATTTACAGAGCTCAATTTCAACCATTTCGAAATCGCGCGGATCAAATATGGTAGCTAATTCCTTTATTTCAAGGTATGCAATGCCTAAAATATAATAGCTTGTTCACGGTAGTGCAATTCAAGGCGGGACCCGCTTGCATTTCTACATCCTTCACATAATTACCCTTTGTATCCTTGTTAGTACGTCTTTCTCTTGCAGCGGCTGGTGGCTTGGTGTTGAAGACTGCGAACCTATCCACGCAGCAGTCGACTGTTGATAGAAGTTGCCACAAATCGATCCAGCTTTCTTTATGAATTAGAAATTAAAAAACCTAAAGCAGCTTACGATACGAGCAGCTGAAATGCCTTTGCCCATGCCGGTGTCGGGTTTTTCAACAAGCTTCTCCTTAAGAAGCTTCGGGCAGTATAACTGAAAAACTCCGTGTTTTTTTAAATGTTCAGCTTTCAAAATTTACTATTTTCAAGTCGCATACTTCACTTTTCACACTACGATTACAAGATTGAAATGATCAGTGTGCGTCATTCTACATCTGACCAACACAAATAACACACGAGAACTGCCATCGACAACGTTAGGCGTCTACCCTCTGCATTACCCGATGCCTGGGTAACATTTAAACATTTAACGAGTCTAGCAACAAATTTTGCCCGGCGAACAGAGTAAAGTAACTACGAGGAACATGAACCGTGAAGCATTGACTAAGTTTTGTCATCGATGTTGTTTGAACCAATGAATAAAATTCGTTTACATTTATCCAAAAAGTAGCGAGGTACCTGGGCAGAGTTGGACATTTTTACACTCGCGCTGAGATGAGTAATGCTCCTACTGACATTAGATCGAACGATCTTACTTCACTGACGAAGGAAGGAATTTTGTGATGCGCACTACAATACGATAAAATTGTGGGGTTTACAAAATTGTGAACCGCAGTTGAAAATAATAAAAATTTTTTGCCCATGTTTGTATAACTGAAGATACATTTTTCAATGCCTGTCTCCTCTTGTACACCTTAATAAATGTTTACATGCTTTCAAACAGCCTGTGTAAATACAGCAAAATGAAATTCAATTGATATTTTAACAAAAAACTATTTTTGTCATAAAAGTGATGACATTACTATCTAACACCACGTAAGCTCCAAAAACTGAAAAGTCAGTTCTCATCTCGTTCCATCTGATGACCTAACAAACAAACGATTGCACATACAACGATGACATTCCATGCAGGAGCGGGTCGAGTTGGTCAAATACCATCGCCTGACCAGGGCCATCTTGAGACAGCATGACCAGCTGCTCGTTTCGGATTTATTTCGCAGATTCGGCCAATCGTGCAATCGAATTAGCAGCCGAAAGCAGCAGGTTGTCGATTCGCACCTGATACACCTATAAGCCGAGTCAAAATAGAATTTTGAGTCTCTACTGGGTGTTCACGGCATGCGCACGGTTCTGACGTAAGTTCATTGGTGCAGGTAATTTTGTCGAATGCTGTTGCTTCCACTTCGACAGTCGTTTCAAAAAACGGTGCAAAAAGTATGGCCTTATGTCCTTATGTTGAGTTTAGGACTTCCTAGTCCCCGGCCACGCTGATGCGCCGCCTTCGTCGTCCTCCGTCACCGAGTCGTCGCTAGGCAGGTCACCTCGCCCTCGGGTCCCGGATGTAACGTTGGACGTGTTCCGTATATTTGCCCTTCAACATAATTCATAACAATTCAACATAATTGCCCTTCAACATAAATTCAACATAATTGTGTGGCACACAACTTTTTATTTTTTCTTGATATTATTCTCATTTCTTAGACTGTCAGCGCTGTTTTTCATCACGTTTCTATCATTTCAAATTTTCGAAACACATTTTTCATGGCAGGCGCAGTGACGGCCGAGTGCCCAGCTGGCTATGAAGACGTTGATTCTAAATGCATCCACCGCTTCAACGGTGGATATCTCACGTACGACGCAGCGGTGGATTACTGCCGCCAACACTTCGGCAGGCTGCCTGTGATAGATGACTGCTCCACCTTCACTGAAGTTGCTACCTTCGTTGACGATGGATGTTAGCTGGATAAAGTCACAAGCTTGATTGTTGTAACAAAAAAACAAATCACGTTTTTTTGCGTAACACTGTTACGCCAGTTTACAATAGTATGGCGTTACTGTGAAGGCGACAGAGCCCGCAGTAGATTCTGGTGCCTTCAGCATTATTAGTCTGTTGGAACATGGGACTGAGATATATATGAATAACAATACCATTCTTGTTTAACAAAAAAGGAAACATTTGAGTAATCTAAGATTTGGTATCAAAGGCTAGACTTGAGGTTCAAAAAAACAGGCTCCATGAAGCTTGTACAAACGATTGGGAAAACTTGTTGCTTCAACATAATTGAGTGAAAGTAAATTTTTTGATCTCTTTCCATGCTAATAGCATAAATACTGGAAAGTTTTTTTTGTTCTCTTGAACACGGCGTGCAGCTAATGACGGCTTCAGTAGTGGTACCATGAAATTTCGCCTACCTGTAGCGGCCTAATAAAAGTACACGTAGGGATCGATTTCTCTTCGGTGATTGGTGAGCTTAGTTTGAAAAACCGGCAGTGTTTAGCTGAAAAAGTCACGAGCTATTTCTGATCATTAAGCCGCTGACTGAAAATTTCATGCACTCTACCTCCCATATTCCGGCAGACTCGGCCGAGGCTAACAAAGGCTTCTGGTTGGGCGCGACTTACTCCACCAGAGACGGCGTCTGGCGCTGGAGCGACGGTGCGGCCGTTCCCATGGGCGCTCCATATTGGGCGTTTGTAAGCGATTTTGCGATACAAAATAATCCACCGTGAAGAGAACTATAAAGTAGAAAAGTTGATGATTTATTTTGCATACAATTCAGATTAATTCGAAGACAAGGCATCAGCTTATGTATCTCAGACAAATGATGTGAAAGAAAGTCGTATTAAAATGCAAATTTCACAGCAGGTTTCGAAGATAAAGAAAAATTTCATGTAATGGAGACGTTTAATAAAGTCAGTTCAAGAAATTTATATTAATTTAAATTGAATTTAACTTCAAATAGAAACAACAATACAACGTTAATTTCCATAAGGAAATTTATTTCCCGTATGTTATTTAATGACAATTTCCATCATACGAGTAGAGAGCCTTGATAGCACGAGTACTCGAGCTGTTGCGATTATTGCGGGCCACCCCATTTCGTCAGTCTACGTCTCAACTTTTCTCGAAGACTCATTTCGTTGTATGTGTTTATCATGATTTGCGTGACTTGTTATTAGGCATGCGTACACTAATGGAGGGCTAATGGCACATTTGAGGTAACCCCGTAAAATCGTCGCTGGAGCCAAGGTGCACGAACAACTGGGGTAAGGAGTTAACGTGTGCCGGTTTTTGGGCAATTTTGTGCCTGCTCTGTGCCTCAAAATTACCCACAAACCGGCGCCCACAAGTCATTACCCCAGTTGTTCGTGCACATTGGCTTCGGGGACGATTTTACGGGGTTACCTCAGATGTGCAATTAGCCCTGCAATTATATCGACTTTTGCGTATTGGTCTGTAAATTCAAAATGGAAAGGTAAAGATTTTAAGGTCACTTTTTCGTGTATTTCTTTGTAAGTGTTTTTGTTAACTTGCGTTACTTGTTATTTGGTTTTCATATAAATATAACGTCTACTCCGTATTGGTCTGAAAATTCAAAATGGATTACACATCTTGTGGTTCTTCTTTCGACCATGAAGCTCAAGGACTACGTAGTCTATGCGCAAGATTTCGCTACTGACTATCATACTCTTAGTGTAGTAACTATCCTCAAGGACAGACGCTGATATATTAGCAAAATACTAACATTCTGTTTATAAACCAACAAAATGAACCAACGTTTCAGCATAC